AATCAATAAGAACTAATGAGCGAAACCCCCCAACAGTTTAGCGGCATTGATAAAATATAAATGGGAATCATAACAATAACTTCGTAGCTTGTCAACAAACGCCAGACGCGGACGCTGGGATAACACTTTAAGGTATTATTTTTTTGACAACCTTATGGCGATGGTGACACCTGTTCGACACCATTATACATACGAATGCTTATGTTATTTACTCACCAGAATTCTTGAAATTTCGTAAATTCCGTCAGCGGTGAACGAGCACGAGTTTTACGGTCACAAGTAAGAAAAACATAACCGATAAAGTGGGCAACACATGCGCGAGGAAACCTGCGCAGTAGTTAAGTGCTCGAAAATATTAATGTAATTACTTTTAATAAGCTTTCACAAAGGTTAGGACTCTTTGGAGAATTGACTTATGTACAAATAATCTAGCCAAGTGGACTGACATGCATAATTTTTATATATATTTACTGTATTTATATATATATATGCAGGACTATAACATTTGAAAGGTGTACATTTCACTTTTGAAAAGAGTCTTACATTTAATAGATAACCGATTATTGATTATCTTGTTTTTTACTATATATATATATGTATATTTATATATGTACAAGAAGGTGCAATGGGTTGTGAAAGTACATAGATTGGTGATTAAGTAGTAGATTCTTGCTCAGCCAATAACACGTAAAGCGTTCAACTAGTCACAAATCTTATGTCGCTGTAATCGTGAACAAATTAAAGCTTATAAAGACAACTATCACAGGTACGTCGTAGAAATGCTCATGTGTGTTATTCTTAATGACAAAATACCCCAAATTCTAGCCAAGAATCTCAAGATGGTTTATTGCAGATAGTGTCCAAGCTGTCTATATAAGCTTCACTACAGCACGTCACTGTACTTGCTTATCTCGTGACCTCGTACAGTTAGATTAGGTTGTCTACCATAATCTTAGTTACAATACAGTAATTAGATCACTACCCTTGTAACCTTAATACTAACTTGAGGCAAGCTAAACTCAAACTAGTTCAAGAATAGTAAAGATTTGATGTCACAGTTATTAATGAATTTGTTAACACTACACAAGTTATATTAAAACACATACAGATTGGCATTATGCTTTTTAAGAATTTAAAAGTTACGATTATTTATATGACTTGAACATTGCATTTCAAGCCCTTGAAAAAGTTATTTCCATTTAGGCCTATAGTAAGAATTCTCTCCATAGCCTATGCTCCTAAATTAATTTTAGAGCAAGGTTTTCTTTAACTACTCATGGCTGTTAGAGAAAACGAAATGTTTCGAGTAGGCCGTAGGGTAACTCTTTCATCACAAAAATTTTATGTAAGGAGGAAAAAAATAGTAATATACTATTTGTAAAAATGCAGAGAATAAGAGTACCGTGAATACTTAGTAGGCACAGTTGTCCTGAATGCTATAAGAGTAGAAACAAGTTGTCAATTCTTTATTTTTGCACGCTATTACAGCTCATAATTGGAGCCGACTAGATGATCACTGGAGTCTGACGCAACTCACTCTCCGAGTCTACGTCAGCTTACTGGAGTCTGCGTCAGCTTACTGGAGTCTGCGTCAGCTTACTGGAGTCTACTTGTTCCCGTGGCGCAGTGATAAAGCACTCGCCCGGCGCTTCGCAACCGATTTGGTCTGGGTTCGTATCCTGGCCGGAGAAGATTGGCTGGGCGCCAATCCTTAACTGTAGCCTCTGTTTACCCAGCAGTGAATGGGTACCTAGTTGTCAAACGATTCCCGTATCGTATTCCGGGAGAAAATTTAGGATTAAAGACCTGCCCGAAACGCTATGTGTGCAAGTGGCTGTACAAGAATGTAAAAACGTATGTATAAATGAATAACAAAAATACTGCAGTTCACCTGAGTCTGATATTGCCCAATACATTTCTCAAGGTCAGTCACCATTAAATGAAATAAGAGTGAGAGAAAAATAGGGAGGAGAATGTGCAGGAAGAAACGAAGGAAGGGAGGAACATATTACATTATGCGCCACCTCTCCCTCTCCTCCATCACCCTCCGTCCTCAGCCATTGTGTGTACCTTGTTCACGCCCGCCACCATCACCCTAAACCCACCTGAACAACACATAACGTTAATAACAATGCAACATTGCTTTTAACTACGGATATGGTTCGGTCGAAGATACAGTGTGCTATTAGCCTTGAGAATAATGTGTTTCTCTCCCTCCCTTCATCCCCCCCACCCCCCTCTCCCTTCTCTCTCTCTCTCTCTCTCTCTCTTTCTCTCTCTCTCTCTCTCTCTCTCTTTCTCTCTTCTCTCTCTCTCCTCTCTCTCTCTCTCTCTCTCTCTCTCTCTCTCTCTTCTCTCTCTCTCTCTCTCTCTCTCTCTCTCTCTCTCTCTCTCTCTCTCTCTCTCTCTCTCTCTCTCTCTCTCTCTCTCTCTCTCTCTCTCTCTCTCTCTCTCTCTCTCTCTCTCTCTCTCTCTCTCTCTCTCTCTCTCTCTCTCTCTCTCTCTCTCTCTCTCTCTCTCTCTCTCTCTCTCTCTCTCTCTCTCTCTCTCTCTCTCTCTCCCTCTCTCTCTCTCTCTCTCTCTCTCTCTCTCTCTCTCTCTCTCTCTCTCTCTCTCTCTCTCTCTCTCTCTCTCTCTCTCTCTCTCTCTCTCTCTCTCTCTCTCTCTCTCTCTGTCTCTCTCTCTCTCTCTCTCTCTCTCTCTCTCTCTCTCTCTCTCTCTCTCTCTCTCTCTCTCTCTCTCTCTCTCTCTCTCTCCACTTACCGAGAGAGAGAGAGAGAGAGAGAGACCGAGAGAGAGAGAGAGAGGAGAGAGAGAGAGAGAGAGAGAGACCGATGAGGAGGAGAGAGAGAGAGAGAGAGAGAGAGAGAGTCATGGATGAGGGCCACACAGCCGGGCTTCCCATGATCTTGTCACCTTCACTACACCTGTCACAGACAAGGGGCACCAATGCCACCAGTGACCCCCATTCTCACACACCTGCCGGAGGGTGGGGGGGGGGAGAGCAACACAATTGCAACAGGAGGGTGGAGCCGCCTACCAGCTCCACCCTCCTCTTCTACGATCGTTTCGTAGTTAATAATTTTATTAATTATCCCGCCCTCAGGTGTTGCCGGTGTTGAGGTGAGCACCTGGCTGGTCAACCCCAAAGTCACATTCACAATTTTAACATACTCGATATTCAAAATAAAAATTACCTCAACTATAAATTAATATTATTATATATTAAGGTATATAATGCACATTTAGGAATAGATTAGGTTAGACTTTGTGTTTAGGTTCTGTTCTAAAGTTTGAAACAAAAGAACAGCATGTATTTAGAAAATATAAGTCGACAAAATGTAAGGAAGTGTTCATACTCTGCACGAATGGTCGACAAGTGGAATGCACTGAAAATAGTGAAGCCATCTTCATCCACAACTTTAAGGCCAGATTTGACAAAGAATTGGAGTGTCAGAATAGTTAAATTATCACGCAACAGGTTACAACAAGGCCAGTAGGCGGGGCATGAAGAGCTAGACCTCACTTCTCCTTAGTCACTGATAGGTAAGTACTGATAAGTACCACCAACGATATACTCACAACAGTTGTAGCAGAGCCAGGAACCACCTGTTCTACAAGCATCACAACAAACAAGGAACAACATGTTCTACAAGCGATACAAGACATAGCAGATATCCTGCCAGGATATCCTGGGCGGGTCTCAGGGATCACAGCACGACCCCCTCCACATTATTTACATAAGTCCCCCCCTCTCCTCATAAATTACCTTAAAAGTCTAAATATGAAGAAAATCAATTATTTTATTCACTAATTATTAAAATTTATTGAGTAAACTGATTGTAAAGTAGGTATATATTAACCTAATATGTAGGTAAATCCATTATATATGTTTAACGTGTAATTTAAGAGTACCGGTGTTCTTATATATAGGTATACTACTGAAGACGTCACGTTGTTGACGAGACGTTGTAATAAAATGGAAAGATTACGTGATTAACTAATCTTCTAAAATCTAGACTAGATGGAAGAAGGCATCAAGTAAAAAGGAAAATATTCATAATAAAATTAGCAGCTGTAACATTGCTGTTGTCATATTTCTCTCATATTTAATTACACACCTGGAATGTGTGCGCATATTTGATGTACTGTAGCCCCTCACATGTGATTATGACCTAATATACCACCTCTGGCAGTGTCAAAATATATTAATTTCTGTTAGTTAAGCGAACTAGCAATAGTTGCACTCAGCGGAGGGTATATAAGAGAGGCGTGCCCCTCGCCTGACCATTGTTACCCTCACCTGCACATTGTTAAAGGGAAGCCGCTGCCCACAAGGTGGTACTGAAGAAAGGTGAGTCTTGGAGACTTCGTGGAGGATTTTGTAGTTGGTATTGGTATCAATGTACCAGCGTGTACGATACATGGACTATGCGCTGTAACTCACGCTGGTACTCTACTCTCAGAGTGATTGCTTTGCACTTGATAATAGTTTGTACTCTAGTTCGTTATTTCCTAACGCCCTGTGTAAGCAAAGGACGCCTCACCACATGTAGATTCGTGGTGTGGTCTCCACTCCGTGAGGTCTCCTTCAGCTCCTACAACACTGTGTGTGTGTGTTTATTTATCTTTATTTTATATCGTGCATTTCAAAGGTACAGCAGCATTTCTAATACCAAAATTATTTATTTGTTTAATTATATATATATTTAATGGGAATCATTGGTGTTTGAGTCAACCAATCCATATGAAGCAGAAATTGGGATGCATCTGTCACTGATACAGCAATCCACAACAGTAGCCTAACTCTTAGGTACCGTTTTACTGCCAGGTGAACAGAGACATCAGGTGGAAAAAAACGTGCTAAATCGTCTCCGTACTGCAATCAATGCACTTGTGTACCTTTTAGTGGACTTTGGCCTTAGCAAAACCCCACTGTAATTTTTCCATACTCTAGTTATTTTTCATATTTTCAAATAAATTCATTATTATGTTCGCAGATGGTCGCAAGAGTAGTTGTGGTGTTGGCAGCCCTGGCGGCCGCCCGCCCTGGACGGGGTGATGGCGACGACCAACGGAGCCAGCGGCTCTTCCTTCCCAACCTGGTGGATGCCGTCCAGAGCTTCTTACATCCGCATGGTCAGACCCAGCACCACGGCGGGTGGGGGACCGGCTTCCCTAGCGGTGGTGGCTATGGTGGCGGCTTCGGCCCAGGCGATGGATACTATCCAGGAAGCAGCAATGGCTACTATCCAGGAAGCAGCAATGGCTACTATCCAGGAAGCAGCAATGGCTACTATCCAGGAAGCAGCAATGGCTACTATCCAGGAGGCAGCAATGGCTACTATCCAGGCAGTAACACTCCAGGAAGCTACCGTCCGGGCTCTGGACTTGGATACGGCTACACTAATTTTTATGGATAGCTAATCTTTCCCCAGGATGAAACCCACAACAGTCTACTAGCTCTCACGTACCTGTTTTCTGATAGTTGTGTACAGTCATCGTGGATAAGGAAACATGCCCAAACGTCTCGCCATCCCCGAGGAAACGAACTCGTAAACACTGAGCTACAAGCCTATTCAAGATGGCAGTTGGACTGATATGTATATTCTCTGCCCTTTCTTCCCATTTGTCAAATTATTGTTAAAATATATAAAGCTATTAAAATAAATAGTTTCGAATAAATGATAATTAATTCAACAGCTTTTGATAATTCAAATAACTTTTTCTTACGTGTCAACGAAATAAAACGAAGTGTTGTGACATTGTGTTTTTAGTATGGCGTTTCCTGTGTGTCCTAGTCTCCTGTCATATTTTGAGCTTTAACATCGTTAACCATGGTTAATGTTCACTCTTTACCTTCAGTAACCGCTGAGACGTGTGTCAATGTTTGCTATCATCCTCTTAATTCCTATCGTGGAGGTGTATGGATCAACCTTTGTGTAAACATACCGGGTTGTAGTGGCTGAGGGGGCCTGTGGGCCGCTCCAAGCAACAGCCCAAGTGATCACAATAGCTTATGTATCTCAGGAAATATGTGCTAGTTAGGGCACGAGCCGCTACAGTAGCGTCTACTGCTACTACATCACTCACACATAGGCCCTCAAGAAGGAGTGAACATAAAGAATACAAGTACTTGAAAATTTACATATTTATTTCATTGATGACCTTTTTATTTTGTTTTATTCTTTGTAGAGTTAATAAGTTAGAAGTGTAGAGCCCCCCCAAGCTGGTACAAAATTCCTCGAGTGTTCCTTGGTGTGGTGAGGACAGGTGGTGGTGGCGGGTCGTCTCCTGAGTGCTGCAGTGGACTCTAAGGTGCTGCTGAAGTGGAAGAGCTGCCGCAGATCCCAGTATACCCTTCGTATTGTTGTGGCAGTTGTCATACAGGCAACTGAGGTACTCACAATTATGGAGGCAATTCACCTCATCCTGACACCAGTCGCCCCGCACTACACGCCTCGTCCTACCCAAAATACGGGTTGATGAAGGGACCTCCGAGAAATGGCGGCGGACCGTAGACACCGAAGCCGCCGTATCCAAATTTACCATAGCCATAACCACCGTAGCCGTAGGGGTTAAGGAAACCGGAGAGGGCCCCCTCGGCAGCTCCCACTAGATTGGGAAGCAAGGTCCTCTGGCTGCCTTCTCCACCAGCAGCCTCCTGGGGGCGGGCGGTGGCCAGGCCGGCCACACACACCACCACAGAGACCAGCGCCACCAGTTGCATCTGTGGGAGGGATGTCATGCAGAGCTTCATATCCTATAACCAACACTTCAGGACAGAGTTACAGAGGGAAGTGTCTGGAAAATCATATGAGAATAAAATAAGAGTGACGGTGAGAGAGACTTTAAAAAGAACTTATTATTTACAGGGCACAAATAAAGTTTGAGTGGTCCCAGGATGTAAATTATTATACACTCAGATTTAGTAACTGTCGAAGTGAAAGGCCAAGATAGTGTCCCTTCCTTAAATGTTACCATGGAATACCATTTCCTTTGAGGATTGAATTAATAATTCTTTGCAATAAGGGAAAATAAGGCTTTTTTCCCATTTCCTTATAGAACCTCAACAAAACTTACAAATTTATCAATTTGTAGATTATTAGCTTTTATGTAATATTGTTTTCTTTAGTTATCTTTGTGCATCATTTAAAAATTATAATATATACTATGATTCAAAAATACTTCATGACAAAGCTTCAAATAACTCTACAAGCTACAAGAAGTGCTGTAAACACCAGAAGAAACCATAACTTTCTAGTAAGTAAAAAGTCCTTAGTGGCGTCAGGCGTCACAAGCTCAGCTGCTCACTTTAGCTGGAAAGTTACATTACCATTGTTAGTGTTAACACGCACTCTGGTAATCACCTGGGTACACAGATGCATCAGTAGTTAAACCTTGTGGGAGAGGGGCTTGTTACAAGCCTAAAGTATATATAAATATGCACAGGCTTCTTGTCTCCGACAAAAAATAATTAATATTGATTGAAATTATTATATAAAACACTTGGCAGTGATAAAAGTTTTGATGCAATATTTTATTATTGTAAGTATTAGTGATCTATATTACGCTGCTGAGTTTTGTCAACTGTGATAAAACTTTACCACTTCCCCGTGAGTACTTCTACTGGTAAACATCATCTCTACGAGCTTACCAGAAGCTGTCACACGAAAGCACATGTTAAACAATTGCTCTCGCATTTCTCACTGTATATATATAAATATACTTGGAGTTGACGAATTCTTTATTCCAAACTTTTAAGTTTTGGGATAAATGTTGTATACTTGACGACCGCTGCCTGAACCTGGTAATGGATAGACCTTAAACCATAGAACCTAACATTAATCATTTTGGATTTGAGCAAAATAAAATATTAATACAAAATATTTTGCATATCTATATTCAAGTTCATCTGAGCTCAGTGTTGACAGTGTTTAAGGTTAATTATTAGGTTATTAAATGAAGAGGAACACTTACCTTATCTGGTATAGTTCCTATAGTACTATGAAGGAGGTGTTGTGTACAGATCTGCTAGCCAACGGTGATCTGCTCCCTTTTATACGGGACAAAAACCTCGTTCATGAATTGCCAGTTAGTCAGTTTGCTGCAATAAGCTTCTTGGACACAATGTAGAGAGGGGTCGTATCGAACACAACCAGCTGGACCTCCCTTCACCATTCTCACACGCGGGGCGCCAATGTTTCTCCTGGCACTCAAATATGATATATAATGAGCTACACACATTATTTGTTATATTAATGTTGTGGGATTGTAATATTTGGTGTGAGAGTGGGCAGTAGAGGCATCGATGTCGGGGGAGGGAGGACGGGACGCCCCGGGGCGGCTGTCTGGCCAAGGTCCAGGTCGATGCTACTATTGTTACCCTATTCTCTTTATGGTAATTCACCTCATTCTCTTCCTCTTCCTCCCGGAATATTTCACCTCCTCCTTGGTATTCTCACCTCCTCTTCCGCCTCTGTACACGCACTGCTCATTTATGATTCCATTTCCTACTCTGGAATCAAAGCAAAGAAAGTACCCGGCGCTGCTCGGGTGAAGAACAAGAGCCAAGCATTTCGTGACCCCTAAATCATACCACTCCTCCAGGGCCCGGAATTTCATTATTAGTGAAGATCTTCACCAAACGCGATATTCGCTATATACTTTACAACAATGAAGGTCATGTAAAGAGATCTTCGCCATACATTGATCTCAGGCGTTACCCGGGTGAAGATCTTCCCCGAGCCCACACTTCACCCAGGTGTCACCAAATGAGTGTATTATGCAAGTAAGTTTAATTATAATGCGATTTATGATTTATGGTTTTGCCGTCCCAAGTATGTGTAGCAAAGGGCTGGGATGTGGGAGCTAAGCTTAGCTAAGACTTTTTTATACAACGGCCGGCAGCATATTGTTGTTCCTCCTCCCTTACTTCCTCTGGGCGACACTCCACTTCCCTTCCTCTAGAGCGACGTTTTTTCTTCCTCTTTCTAGAGAGCCGCTCCTTCTCCCTTCCTCTAGAGTCCTTCCCTCAACACAGATCCTGCAAGGGCGGTGGCGGTCACTGCCTAATAGCTCCTGAGACGACCCATCGACTTCTGGCTCATGGTCTCTGCAGTCAACTTCAGCAGAGATCATTTTTGTTTTTCAAAACGGCGTCATTGGAAAGTTTAAAAAACTCAAATTAATAAGCCACTCAGCGTCTGAAGGCTACCTGTATCTGGCCTTCGTATTTCCCAAAGTTTCTACTTTACCTGAAGGCTCGCAACATCACAAAGAACAGCTGACCTCTCCAGAGGATTGAGTGAAAGTTGCAAGACTTTAACCTTAACGTTGCGTTACGCGCGGGGGAAGCCCGGCCGCCCGACCCCTGGAGGACGCTCCCGCCTCCTCACACTCAATATCTTACATATTTCTATCTTCAAACTAATGAAAGTAAGTGGAAACTCCCTCTTCTTATTCTACTGATTCTCCAGTAGACTAAGAAGTGGAACAGAGAAGCTACTTATATGATAAATGAACCTGTTGTCTGCTCTAGCCAGGTCAGGTCACCGTCCTGTTGTAAGCTTTCCGTAATTGCCGGCTTTGCTCAGATGATAAGTTTCTTCACCATGTTAGCGGCCCTTCACTCTAATATTGTCATTGCTGTAATAGGCTTGGCTATAGCCTCGTCTAGTAAGCTACTGAGGCTGAGCAATAACAAGTGTATACAAGTGAAATAATTAAAATAATTCTTCAGTACTACATTATTGAATGTGAATTCAAAAAATATTTTAGAGTTGGCCTACTATAGAATTAACTATATTTAATTGAATGTTCTCTTAGCACGAATATGCACTTTCTTTCTTAGCTTTCTTTTCACTTGGGAAGGACACTTGACAGTTAACTTTCTAAATTTTATTTGACACTTAAAATGGGCCTAATGCTAAGTTGACCGCTTTCCTAACCAAGCGTAATATAAGTGTCACATAGCGCTGGTCACTGAAAATGAATACTAGTATAAGAGAAAAATCAGAAGAAATACAAACCTAATATAAACTGCCCCAAGTCTTTACTCCCTTACCAGTGTACAGCTTCGTAACTGAAGCTGTTTATTTGAGATGTTGAGTGACGTGTATGGGCCAATATTTACCAACATAGGCTGCAATCTGTTACATAGTCCCTCGCTAATTTAAGGATCCAGTCATAGAGAAATGTAACAGTTTCGATTTTTGGTCAATAAGATATTTATTGTTTATTATTTAACACGGTTTTAAGGGTATAAGCCTCTCTGAGATTTTCAAGATGGGTTTCACTTACTTGTTTGTATAATACTCACGCTTAAGTGAATGTATAATACTTTCCTATATAAAATAATACGGGTTGTTAATCCATGTGTGGCCGCAATACACCTTGTTGCAAGCATTGCTTGGGCTCTTATTAACACCTACACCTTCTTCATCTTGTCTCCCGTACACATTAATAAATTCGCCAACGGAATGTTCAGAATATACGCTTTAAGGAATAGTAAGGTGTTCTAGTAGCACTTGACTGTTGCCTTGTGGCGATAGTTTCGTGATGAACACTTTAGCCGTCTTCAAATTGCGTGCATGTTCATATATATATATATATATATATATATATATATATATATATATATATATATATATATATATATATATATATATATATATATATATCGTACCTAGTAGCCAGGTAGTATATATATATATATATATATATATATATATATATATATATATATATATATATATATATATATATACAAAATCAGCACATGTATGTATATATATATGCATATGAATGTGTACATATGAGTCTCCTTAAGACAGGTCCTCAATGTATTTTGACTTAGGGTCTTCTTAGGACTCTTGGGGCGCTCTAGGTCTGAGCAGGTCTCAGGAACACCTGTGTACAGGTGTATCACAGACAATGGTCCAGGAATAAGGCCTTCTTCTCTTCCTTCATAAATATTCAACGTGCATTATTGTTCTTTCACCGTAGCACTACAGGCAAATAATAATAATAATATGCCTATTAGGTAAACTATTATATTTATCCAAGAGCTATACATCAACGCTGCTAAAATATGCAAGTTTTTGTTTTAAAAATATATGTAAATATTTAAATTGGCTGACTAGCAACTTTTGCCCTCCGCCATGGCTATATAAAGCAGTGCGGGGCCTTCGTCTGGACATTGTCAGCTGGAACACACTCCTTGCAACACGGTACTCAATCAAGGTGAGGCTGCATGCTCTTCTTCGTCCATTACATTTGTACAATGTAATACTGAAAAAATTACTTCCAATGTCAGTGTGGCAGCCTATCCACTTAAAATGATAGTATATATATCAAGTATTTGGTAAATTTTCACCAATATTCCCTGTTGGACCCCAAAACGTTAATGTTTTATATTGCTGAATTACTCTAAATGGCATTCTAGAAAATTGGAAATGTAACTATAGAATCTATCCTGTTCAAGCAATCCTAGGCCTAATACATGCTATCTTTTGCCTAATATAGAACATATATATAATATGTCCTAGAAAAGCTTAAGGTTGGTGTTTAGCTCTATTTTCTTGGACTGTATACAATTAATACTACAAAATTTGAACATTGTGGGGTCCAACAGTACATATTAGTACTTCCGGTCAAACAGTTGCCATAAGTACTATCATTTTAAGGTGTAGCTCATTTGACCACTTAGTGTCCACCCACGTCCCCGGCTCGCGTACCATCACAAATATTCTGATCGTGTTAGTCTTTATTTCTGTAAGTCTTTTGCATGATGCCATGCGATAGCCTCGCCCCTGACTCCTGTCTTACAACGATTTGTATTTTATCTCCTGAAGTCTTTACCAGTAATTCATGCCTTTCAGCTCTGGGGCTAGTCTGGTGACATGCCTCTGGCTTCGTGTGGGTGTTAACCCATTTGTTCCAGAAGGATCAAGCTTTTAGTTCTAGAACCGCGCCTTACAACCCCGTCGGTAGTCTAATGTACGGACTTATTTTGTCTTACTGACATATGTCTTATTTTCCTTATATATTTATCTCTCCCTTCCACATACCCTAGCAGCTATCATACTCACTGCTACCTATTTTTTGCTAGGTGAACATAGGTAACATATAAAAGGAAACTACCCGTTTATTTCCGTCTCGGTCGGGATTTGAACCCGGGTTCGTGGACGCTGTGTGTATGTGTCCAGCAGGTAAAGGACCAACTGGTCCTTTACCTGTTGGACAGTTAACGGAAATTACCTGCGTCACGCCCACGGCCTGTAAGGGGAGTGCCGTTGGTGGCACCACCTAGTACAGCTAATGCCTCGGGGACGACTGACCATTGTCGCGGTGACTCTGGAACTACATGACCAATTACATTTCAATTTAATAAAAAATTGCAGTCATACTCCTTTTCATGTCTTCGACCAGCTGGCTGATGTTTCTCTAGACTATTGAATATTGCTCCAAAGTGTTGTAATGTGATATTAAATGTTAAACCTAGTGATGACATGTATTGCAGATGCACGGAACAGTGATGGTAGTGGTGGTGGTGTTGGCAGCCCTGGCCGCCGCCCGACCTGAAGAAGGAGGCGACGCAAAGCCTAACCAACGGTTCTTCCTTCCCAACCTAGTAGGCGCAGCCCAAGGCGCCGTCCAGGGCTTCTTGAATCCTTACGGCGGCCATCACGGTGGTGGCTTTGGAGGCAACTTCGGGTTTGGCAAAGGGGGCTACAACGGCTTTTATCCAGGCTACGGTGGCTATCCTGGAGGCTTCGGCGCAGGCTACGGCTTCAACAATTACTACGGGTAGAGGCACCCTTCAGCCTCCATGGAGTCCCTCTAGCGTATTATTATTTATTAATAATACAGTAATAAGACTTTTTATCCTGTAACATTTGGCAGATTATTTCCAATGTATGTGGCCTTAATTTATGAAATAAATATAAAATTTTACTACACAAGTCTTTGGCATATCCAGATTACCAGTTTCATATGTTTTATCCACTGTAAACTTGCCCAAAACGTTTTATTTATTTGAGAGTGCCAGTTGGCACCCATCATGTGAGAGAGCACACATAATGACAGCACATTTCGATTCAAATACTGGAGCTGATAGTAGCCCCAGCTACATGCTACTATTATAGTCATATGATGGTATTCCTAGCCACAAGGTACTATCCATAGATAGCTATGTGATAGTAGCCCTTCCCAATGGTCACCGTTGCTTGAAAACAATTGACCTGATCGATTGCGTTTTGCTGTGATGAAATGTTTTTTCAAATAAATTAAACATCAGCCTATAAACTATTGAAAATTAAATTGCGTATATAATAACACTGAACATACTTGGATGAATTGAGATTTCGTATTGAATTCCAATCTAGGAAGCGCCTATGACATAAGTATTGTGTTTGCTTTAGCCAGGTGTACGATATATAAACCTTTTTCCATACACTACACATATCTGTAATGCTATTTTTGACAAAACTAAATTCTACATAACAATTTGCTATCTAATACAATATATTGTCGATGTTTAAACTGAGGTTCAAGCATTTATATATTTTGAGTGAAGTTCAAGTATGTTTATTGAGACAAGAAAAAATACATCTCAAAGGGATAGAGTAGCTTAGGCTATTTCTACCCCCGCCCCCCTAAAAAAAATTACTTTATTGCCAAAGGTAGCTTGGTTTAGATGTTGCTGTAGTCTGGTAGGGGAGTGTGAGGCTCCGGCAGCCATATTGTCAACATGAGAGGTCTGCTCCGTCCCTTAGCCTCCAGTAACTGGTAAGGTAATGTCCATTTTGAAGTAAGGGCGAAGAGGTAGAACGGCCTATTGGCATAGCTCGAGTGCATGGGGGAGTTGTGTAAAACCCTGGTTTGTGTCTCGGAGAAGCTGCAGGATCCAAGTAAGTCAGGTGCAACTTAAGGTTTCAACTTTTTTGAGCATGTCACAGCCAGGATCACTACCAGCAACGAGCGTGGTGGCAACACAGGGCAGTGGACCGATGCTAACCTGCGCTTCCGGAACTTGCTTCCGCACTCGTCAAATTATAATCATTTTACGCCGTGCAATCTGGTTAATGTTGCAACGGAAACAAAGAGGTTGGGGGGAGTGGGGGGGGGGGGAGATTGTCACACCACCGAAACTCTGTTACTTTCTCCCTAACTCTGGTGTGACCTTGACCACATTAACATCCCATCCCACCCCTCCTATCCCTCATCAATCCCCGTCCTATCCCTCATCCATTCCCCCCCTCCTATTCCTTACATATCCCCATTATATGTGTTACCTGTCTTACCTTCTAACCTTTACTTGTCCTCCCTCCTATTCCTTACTTGTCCTCCCTCCTATCCCTTACCTGTCCTCCCTCATATCCCCATTCTATTCTTTACCTGTCTTCCCTCCTATCATTTACCTGTCCTCCCTCCTATTCTTTACCTGTCCCTCCTATCCCTTACCTACCCTGATGGTATTCCTCACTCACCCCCCCCCCCTCCAATTCCCACTCCACCTCTTCCCTTTCCTCGGTCTGTTATATTTCTGGGACTTAACCAGAATGTGGTCCACCAGGACTTAACTATGAAGGGTGTCCAGCAGCTGGAGACCCTCATAAAGACTCTCAAGTAGTATCCTCCCCCGCGACAGCAGCCTGACGATTAAATGCGACCTCAGAACACTGAATAGATTTACTGAACAAAAAATTTTACCACTTACGGGCTATTCATGCCCGTGCCACCTCTTGGGTGGCTTAATCTTTATCAAACAATCAATCACCTCCCTGGGAGATAACGACAGGTCTCATGAAGACAGATACGGACAGCTTTTCAAACAAATTTCATCTCTGACTTTAACAAAATCCATCCAACACCAACCAAATTCGACTTGCTTCAACCAGTTCCTTCCACTTGATTCGACCAGTTTGTCAGACTTGCTTAGACCAGAGAGAGAGCGAGACGGTATTATAGTTCCACCAGGAAAACAAACTAGCGGTATTAAGAGAGCGGAAAGTACCACAGTGGCCGTCGGCACTTGGAGACAATACCACAAGGCAGTTGTAACGAGACAAATCTTTATATAAATCTGTATCCCTTTCCGTCCACGACTTTTAAACCGGCTAAAATAGTTATGATCTGGAGTAGCGTTTATTACTTTTTTTGAGAAAATACTCTCATTTGTTACAATGCAACAGGTAAAGAGATGTGGATCTGAAGTGACAATGAAAGATTAAACACGATAACAAACAGAATGACGGATATAATGAGTTCGTGTCCGTCTTTTTCCCAGCCGGATTGGCATTCAACACCCCGTCACCCCTCTCTCCACCTGTCATCTCCCCTCCCCACGTTACCCCTTCCGTCCCCTCAGTCCCACACACCCTTTCCCATTCCCCCCCCCCTTCTCTTCCACCTCTCTCCCCCTTTCCTCCCCCTCTCCCCCATCCTCGTGAGGGTGCAGGGACCCTGGCTGGCCCTGGGAGAAAGTGTCTGGTCCTCCCTTGACCTTCCTGTTTCAGATCTTATTATTCCGGCCACCTGCCCCGGCGTTATAGCGACCACCTCGTTATTCCGGCCACCTGCCCCGGCGTTATAGCGACCACCTCGTTATTCCGGCCACCTGCCCCGGCGTTATAGCGACCACCTCGTTATTCCGGCCACCTCCCCAGCCACCATTCTAGAGTGATTTAGCTGTTATAACTAAATTGAAATACAGTACTTGGTTATTAGCATACTATGGTCCATGACACTGGCCGCCCTGATGAGTGACAGCAATAAAAAATCTTAACAAGAAGCATGTGAGGACCCTCAAGAGATATCCTAGAGTGGAAACTGCGAGCATCATGTTTGTAATGAGTATATGTGGCAGAGGTGTAGGAGAGAGTGTGAGGAAGAGGGAGGTCAAGGCTGCCACTCACATGGGGAAGGTGTAGATCAGCCAGAGAGAGAAGCTCAGCTGCAATTTGGTAGACAGGAAATGTGGAGCAAATGAGAGGGATTCCCCAAGTAAATGTGAGGTGCTGGACGTGTTAGAGGGTGACCAGGGACACACTTGTGAGTCACACTCACACTTGCAAGCCTCACACTTGTCGTCATACCAGAAGACACTAGAATTAACACGACAAATATAATAAAGTTTGAACGTCCGAGATTGATTACTTATTTCTTAGTTGCTGGTTCGTTGTGGATTTGTTAATTTGATGCATCACGCTATTGTGATTTCTGTGTGAAATATATTAAATCCTGTATACTCATTTAGCCTCATAATGTTACCATCCAAATTCCCAGTTTTTTGGAGTGTTATTATGTCAATATTCTTATTAATTCTTTATTCTTCTTAACCTTTTAATTGTTGCAACTTCTCATTATATGTCTCGATCATTATGTTAGCTTAAGACTTGTACAGGCAAGAGTGTACGTGTTGGTGTCCTTGCTAGAAGGAGCTGCTTCCTAACTTATCACTTTAGTCATATTAATTTAAAGCGAGCCACTGCTCTAAGGTAAACCTATTTACATCACTAAACTGTAACAATAACATTTATTGTACTTTCCTATAAATAAATAAATGAATGAGGGGAAGCGCGATTGACAGACGGAAGCATTTTTACACAGATAGCTTGTATTTCATAAATAAAGAATGCCAGTACACAACAATATTTTAGGAACATATATATATATATATATATATATATATATATATATATATATATATATATATATATATGTATATATATATATATATATATATATATATATATATATATATATATATATATATATATATATATATATATATAATATAATATATATATATATATATAAATATATATATATATAATAATAATAATAATAATAATTTAGATTTTTTTTTTTACTTTGTTCTTTGTGTGAGTGATAATTTTTTTTAACTGGTGTAGCTGGTCTGTAGTTGGTGAGGAGTTCATTAGTGTTCCTTGTCGTAGTGAGGACAAGGATGGCGTCCGGGGGCTGGCGTCGTGAGAAGCCTCCGGAGTGCTGCAGTGGTCGTTGAGCTGCTGCAGATCACAGACCAAATGTTCATTTATTGTCTTAGTCGTGGTAGTAGTCGTCATACAGGCAGCTGAAGTAGGTCACACACAGTCGTGGAGGCCGAGCGCAGATTGCTGTGACACCAGTCGTCCTTACCCTGCACTCGTCCTACCCAAAATATGGGTTATTGAAGGCCCCGCCTCCAAAATAGGGATTGTAGCCGCCCCCGAAGCCAGGCCCATAGCCAGGCCCGAAGCCAGGCCCGAAGCCAGGTCCATAGCCACCTCCGAGGTACGGGTTGTAGCCACCATATCCGAAGCCTCCTAAATTACCATAGCCATTGCCGTAGGGGTTAAGGAAACCGGAAATGGCCCCCTCGGCAGCTCCCACTAAATTAGGAAGGAAGAACCTCTGGTTGCCTCTTTCGTGAGAATTCTTCTGAGGAAGGGCGGTGGCCAGGCCGGCCACACACACCACAGAGACCAACACCACCAGTCGCATCTGTGGGAGGGATGTCAGAGCTTAGTTGTTGTTGTTATAGATTCAGCTACTGGGAACAAAAAGTTCCAAGTAGCACGGGCTAAGGTGAGCCCGTAGTGGACTTACCTGGCACAGGAGCGGGGCTGTAACTTGCAGAGCTTAGTAACCTGCGGACAATATCATTCATAGCGCCACGCACTTTCACTCTAGACTGACGGAGAGAGGCGCGCAGGATTACATTATGAATACAATAAGAACAGATGAGAGAGGCTACATGGGGGAAATGAACTGCGTAAATTTGTGATTCACAAGATTATGTGATGAACTTTATTGTTCTTTTTATTATTCTTAGATGATAAAAAATGTACATAAGTTTATTATAGTTCCATATAGCCAATATAGTTGAAAGTTACAGTGCCATTGACATTACAAATTAAATATTGTAGATTGACTGAATTCCTCTCATATAAAAAAATATTATGGCTAAAAGCATTTACATTTAATTTGAGAGAGGAATAAGTAGAGCTACCTCCCAGGGGAAAATCGTAGCTTATGACTGTCATGTCATTAAAAGGATTGCTAAAGACTGGTTTGGTGTTGGGCTTAAGACCTCTCAATTACGGGAGCGATAAAGAAAAAAAAATACATGGGGGTAATGGGTGAAACCTGGATTAGGCGTTAGTTGGAAGCCTCATGGACCCTTGAGAATTCAGTCGAATTCCAGGTTGCATTGCTTTTTATCACGTGGTGGTGCAGTGGTCTAAGGAATTTGCTTGGGAGTACCCAGAGTGTAGGTTCGAATCTTCCTCACGGTTCCTACTGATTTTCTCATTGATACATCACGTCAATGTGATTTCTCTATGCATACGGGAGAGATGGTAAAGCCACCACAAGAGCTAATTGCTGACCAACCAGAAAGTATACTATAGATCTGAACATTACTAAAATAAACTCTCAGTGTATATACACCGAGAAGACAGTATACACCTCTCTGTGTATATTGTTTCTACTTAAGCGCAAGCTTACCTTTTTTTTTAGGTTTAGTTCCTGTTGAATGGAGAAGGTATTGTGTAAGCTACAGTCACAGCGGGCTGCTTCCTTTTATACTGAGCCAACACCCACAATCATGAATTGCCAGGTCGTCAATTTAAAGGGCCACTTCCACCTCAATTGTTCCTTTCCATATTACCATACTACCAACTACCAGTAGTAAAGTTTAATGCTTATAACGTTCTCGGCCTAAAATAAATCACCAGAATTTTCTCCTGAATATTTTGAATGATAAAAAAATTGTAAATATGAGGTTACAGCTAATTATGCTTGCTGATCCGCGCTTCTCCCCCTCGACAAGTACAGCATTATAAGATGCCCTCAGCTTATAGTGAGGTATAGTGAACATAAACCTATAGGGTTTACATTCATTATTGAGTGGGAGTGTTTCACATGGCAGTGGGTGGCATCGAAGCAGGGTCCAAGGGCCGGCGTCTCTGGGTCTTCCAGCTGGCTCAAGGTCACCCTTCATGTGAACTCTATGGTAATTACTTCCATTCACTTCCTTCTCCACACGGGAACTCCCGCCTTCTTGGTATTCTCACAGCCTCTTATGCTTCCTACGCTGAAGTCCCAGTCCTTAATACTTGTTATATCCCGCTTCCTGCCTTATATAGCATCTGTTTCTCCCTAATAATCTCACCTCCTCTCTTGTATAACCCTACCCCTTGCCTTATATAAGGCCACTTCCTTATATAATCACAGTTCCTCCCTCCATGCAACCCCACTTCCACTTGCAGTCTCGCCTAATCCCGTATAATTGCACCTATCATGCGCTCCTGTATCCTTATAAGCACAGCTTTTTAATTCCAGCTTACACAACACAACGTCTTCCTGTGCAGTCCCTCCCCCTCCCTTATGCTTCTCCAGTTTTCTCTTGTTCTTCTATTCATGAACCAATATTACAAAGACATTATTTTCTCACCTCACATGCATCCTTTCTACATATATTTCCTTCGCAGAATTGTTATATATATATATATATATATATATATATATATATATATATATATATATATATATATATATATATATATATATAAAAAATGTTTTATATGCAAATTTATTTTAAGTGAGTCTGGTCTCATACGACAAGGTAAGGACGAGAGAGCAGGGAGGAGGACAAGGTCGGGAGAGAAAACAAATTCAGGCACAGGACAAGGAAGGATAAGAGGAGGAGTCGTGGAGGGCGAAACCAGGAGGGTGAAACCAGGAAAATGAATCCAGGAGGAGAGAAGGAAGCCTCGACTTCCTAAGGGTCACTTCCACGGCCGTTGGGAAGTGGCCCCGAAGAGCCAGAGCTGAACCCCTGCAAGCACAATTAGGTGAGTGGACACGTCGAGGACAACCTTGACCACCTTCCTACCCTTAGCTTTCTCTTCATAATCCTTCCAGTGACACCAGGGCGGCGGCCGCGTTTCACTTGTGCGGAAATATCGACCAATTCACCCATTTGGGTAACAAAATAATGTTGAGTGCATAAAACGTCATCATTGAAAAACTGAAAAAATTGAAAAAATCATCAGGGACCATTGGGGGGGGAACCTTTGGCAAGCCGCCGGCTGCCTGTCCTCGTTGAGGCCACTACTATTAGTGGCCTCTCAGGTAAACACTGAACAGTGTTCAGTGTTTGAGAACCCCAAAATGTTCTGAAAATTATATATATTTATAATATAGAATGTATGTTTGTCCAAGGTTGTAGGCCAGACGTTTGTGGCTAACCTCAATAAACTCTGAAGGGTGACCAGAGGGTGTTAGGGGACTCTCATAGGCGTGTTAGGGTCGATGAAGTCGGTGGAGATTAAATGATGGTTGCTGAGTCCTTAGAGTTCGATCATCTGTTCATAATACTCTTCAGAATGCAAGCAAAACGCATATATGTTCTTAAGGGAGATTTTCATTCCAGTGCTCCCAGCAATTTTCTCCATTTAAGCATACAAAACCAAAAAACCATTTGTCGTGGCGTCAGAAGTGTAACTACCCTGATGTTTCTAAGATTAGCCTCCTTCAGCCAACTCCATCGGCTCTAGTGCTTTAGGACACCAACAAGGTCACAAACACTAGCCCCCCCAGCCAATGTACTGACAACCCAACATAACACACACGCAAACAAACAACACATACAAAAATGTCAACCCATGGTGGACAGGCCACCGAACTTTCAAACCTCCTCTCTCTCTACACCCGCATCCTCTTCCTGAATTTCATCTCCCCATCCCTCTACCTCCCCCATCCTTTCCATTCCCTATGGACATCAAAGCAAGCATACCCCATCTATTATCCCCATTTACTATTCTATGTCACAAAAGTCATACATTTAATTACATGACCATATTAATAATTACTTAAAAGATTGTAAGTGTTCCTGTACGCTATGCGTACTGAGACATTGTAATACAAATACTTAAAAAATATTAGTTCACGTTATCTCTGTAACATAACTAATGTATGCCTGTATTTAGTTTTTACAATAAGGGTCAATAATAACAATTAATGTGGCAATCTCATTAAACAGCAAAGACACCCCTAAACTCAATTTCCCTAGCGTTTCATTTTCTTTAAATCAGATTCACGGCCAAAGAAAATATTCCTTCAACCATAATTAGGAGTATCTACAGAAAATTAATGATTTTCAATGTCTTTTATTTGATGTTTACCTTATACTCATCCAGTAAAAGTTGTTGAGTACGCATCTCATACTAATCCTGTTAGTCGGAGCTTATTGTGCACCTTAACTCATCCTATGAGTGGTATATTTATTCATTTACTCATATATAAGAAGATACAATTGGTTAAGGGAATACATATACTGATGGGTGAAGAGTACATTCTACAGTTTAGATTACAAAGTCGCGACCTTTAATTGCTGTATATACGCATTTTAAAAAAATTGCCCCTTAATAGAAGATCTTCGTAGTCTTATAATTCTTGATAGATAATCCACTTTCAATGCTGCCAAAATCAACTCTCTTTGGCACACTTGATAGATCATTCACAGAGCAACCAGTGCTTTCAGCCTTCTCAGATAATGTATACATCAGTGCTGTCGGGCAAAGTACTGTACTCTTGTCAATATAATCCACACATCAACGCTGACAAAACGTTTCTGGCCCAAGTACGTTTGTGAGACAATTCACGTATGAGTTCAATAGAACCCTCTCCACCCAGCCAGTCTTTTTATCACTTCCAATATTGTTTAATTGTATGAGTTTGAACTCAGTTGTGACACCCCGGACAAAAATAATATAATCATAATACTTATATTGTAAATCACCATTCTATTTATAGTTCCACTCCATCGTTACTAATGTCTAGTCTCCGGTGATCTGTTGCATATATCTACTGACCTGCACACTGTACAATGGTGCAGGCATGAGCTAAAGGGACAATTAAAAAAAAAACTGGAAGGATATCTTAAATTGATATATTTCTTTACAAGTATGAAACATAACGTGAAATTCATAAAAATAAACATGGATATATCTGAGCGTTAAGGACAAGACCGTATACTGTGTTGAGGATGTTACCCTGCGCTCCGCTTCCTCCATGGGCCGTAGCCACACTATACCTACTATCACAAATATATTATATCTCGACACAGCCTTTCAGTTATCTTTGTGTAAAATTTGAACCATAAAAACATGCGGGTAGTAAAACTTACCCTTGTGTACAACAGACCTCAGGAGAGGCCAGGAAGACCTTTAGGCCTCATCTATACTAATACTCCAAAATACAGGCCGGAGAAATGTATACCCTGATGAGAAATACATTTAAACAAAGCTACAATAACTATATAAAATGTCTGTAAAGCCCTTTGCAGGGATAAATATTATATATAACAAAATAAGGATCAGTATGTTGACCAAACCACACATTAGAAAGTGAAGAGACGACGACGTTTCGGTCCATCCTGGACCATTATCAAGTCGCTTGTGTATGATATACACAAGGATCAGTATGATATACATATATTTTATGAATGAAATTCGATGCAAATTTTGTGGTATCAGTGAGAAGCGTGCATGATACATCTGATTGCTGCCTTCGTCTGCAGCTGCTTCATCACATACAGCTCCTGAGGTGTGGTGTCTGGCTGCGCTGCTGCCCACACCAACGCCTTCGACAGGAAGCTGGCCGCTTCGCCCGCAGAAGGTATTTCTTGAACGGGGGGAATATCTAAAGATACTTGCCCCTCCTCTAAACTAACTAGTGGCTGCAAGGTGCTCTGAGTGTCAGGGGACAAGTCTTCGCCAGACTGGGCTTCCGTGTACTCATAGTCATCAGGATTCTCAACTTCCGATTTCATTGACGGTGGTGAAGATCCCTCCAAGACGTGTTCTAGAAAATCGAGGGTGCGTTCGTTACTTATCCTCTCCCCGAGCTTTACTTTGTTCACTATTCTAGTAAGGGGTGGCCTCCCTCGTCGTCTACCTCGGGCCACCATTAACTGTTCACTTTGTGAGACCCTGGAAATGATCGGTCGCCAGGAGTCCACCTCTTCGGGTTTGAAGGAACGGATGTTGTAGCGCCTCTTGAACCTCTCCAGCCAACCTGTGCTGGCGCGGAACTCGTCGTTCCCGCGTAGTTTGCAGTGCTCCTGTCGTGCCTTGGCCATCACCTCCGTCCCCATCACCTCCTGCCCGCCGCGCACCTCCTGAAGACAAATGCACAAACATTTACAATATGTCCACTATATACTCACAGTCCGTATGCTACGATTTAATTGGTCTCCTTACAGCTAACAGGAACATAAGACAGGAGAATTAAATGTAAGGATGAATTAGCCTAATAAAATAATAGTAAATTCAAATAGCCAAATTTTAATACTGGCTATTTCACGTGAATTGTTACGAAATGTTCATTAAGCTTTTCTTTTTAAGTTGCGATTTAGGCCTTAGGTCACGAACTGAAGCCGGTTAGGTTATTCAGAGCCACATTTCCCCTAGAAAAATCTCCAATCTTTTTACATCAAAGTCCCCCTATTACTGCTGGGTGCACAGGGGCAAACAGTGAAGGAACGGTGCCCAGTCGTCCCACCCTGCCTATGGTTCCAAATCCTTAGGCGGTTACACGAACTATGTTAAAAAATAAACTGTAACCTCACTGGACCGTCATATAGTTTATCCTTAAATAAAAATGGCCGTGACGAAGATCCGGGACTTTTACAATGTGACCTGATTTATAACATAATATTACACGTTGTAATAGTGCTTTTTCAGGACGTGGTTTGTAACTAGTTTACATTCGATACAAAACTTGCTTCACCCCGGCAGTCATCTGTGGCTCTCACCCTGGCAGTCACCTGTGGCTCTCACTCTGGCAGTCATCTATGGCTCTCACTCTGGCAGTCATCTGTGGCTCTCACTCCGGCAGTCATCTGTGGCTCTCACTCTGGCAGTCATCTGTGGCTCTCACTCTGGCAGTCATCTATGGCTCTCACTCTGGCAGTCACCTGTGGCTCTCACTCTGGTGTCCCTAAGATGTTCTCTCTTAGTATCCCCTACCGTGAGTAGCCAATCGAAGACGGCTTCCTCGACGTCGGCTTTGGCTCCTGACTCGAGCTTCCTTCTGCTCATGGCCACGAAGTCTCCGTTAGTCTCGACGTACTTCAGGATCTCCGCCTCATGCTTCTTCACATCGGAGACGGTGGACGTACCGATGCCGTACTCGAGAGCCAGCTTCCTCTGGGACTCGCCATTGTGGAGGCGACGGATCAGGTCGGCCTTCTCGGCAATTGACAACACCGTTCGTCTGCGCTTGGTCACTGTGTAATAGAGAAAGTGGATGGTAAGCATTACAGTCTACAGGTAGAGAGAGAGAGAGAGAGAGAGAGAGAGAGAGAGAGAGAGAGAGAGAGAGAGAGAGAGAGAGAGAGAGAGAGAGAGAGAGAGAGAGAGAGAGAGAGAGAGAGAGAGAGAGAGATCACAAAGATATTAATAAAGAATTTAGAAAGAATAAACTTTATATCAAAATACCAACACTACTCCAGGGAAAGGAAATCATACCTAATAATACTTATTAGAGTTCTACGATGACTAGAGTGACACCTGACAAAAATATAGGATAGGCTGATTGCATATTACTTGACTATCTGAGAGCATCTTACATTGCCCTACACGAAAAGCTTCTATACGAGCTAAAGATCTAGACCTGTCTAATGGTCAGAGTAATACTTGCGTAAAAAAGTTCCTAACGAATATGAAACAAACAGCAGGCCCCAAGGGGGGAATTAAGTATCAACACGTAATAATGTCATAAATGAAGTCCTACTGCAGAAGGCCCTCTGTGTCATGCGAGGCAGGTCCATTTCACACTCATTTGTTTTCACTCGTGTACCTCTAAAATATATTAAAATTTTACCTAAGTATAGGTTCAATGACGTTCCTGGGCACCCTGATTCACATGCCTATGTTTGAACTGGTTTCCCTATCCCTATTCTACATTAAAATTTGGTTCATTTTAGCGAAACAGCAAATTGAAATCCGCTGTTGCAAGTTTTAACTTGATTTGATAATTCTAACACTGTATCTTCCCCTGACTATGCAATTTACAATTTGATTTTGTCTTATTATATCTTCATTAGTGCTACGCCTTTAAAGAGAATAACTTCAATGTTCATCATTTATTGTCATGAGATTTATAATACCAGGGATTCGAATATTCCCTACACATACCATAAATACAAACATTTTAATTTAAAGAAGTTGGTCATCACTTACAAAACTACTGAGACGAATATTGGCCTATGGACGTTTCAAAATGAGGGAAGAAAAACGAACAGAGGGTAGAAACTGGAAACAGATGAGTTATAGACTCATTGTTATGCCACACGAAACAATGGGTATAAATTGGATAAGTTTAGATTTAGGAAAGACTTGGGTAAATACTTGTTTCGGTAACAGGGTTGTTGATTTGTGGAACCAATTACCCCGTAACGTGGTGGAGGTGGGGTCCCTCGATTGTTTCAAGCGTGGGTAGGACATGAATGGGATTGGGTGGTTATAAATAGGAGCTGCCTCGTATAGGCCAATAGGCCTTCTGCAGTTACCTTTGTTCTTATGTTCTTAATTAGGGGGGGGGTAGAAATAGCCTAAGAGATGTATTTCTTGTCTCAATAAACATACTTGAAATCAATTAAACGGGGTATAATAGGTGAGAGGCGGGTAGGCAGAAGGGATGGGTCACCCGATCAGACCTCTCAGGCCACGAGGTGGTCCACCTACACGAGGTGATTAGGTCCGTACCATGGGTGTGGGCGGCTTACCTGGTGGGCTGGGGGTGGGGGGCTCCATGAGTCGCGGGGGCCGGTGCTCCCTCTCCTCCTTAACCGTCACCCCCTCCCCGCATCCGGATTCCTTATTCTTATCCGATTTTTCCTCGTTTAGGTGTGTTGTTGAGTTAGTCTCTTCATTAGTTTTTGCCTGGAGGCTCGTACTGCTTAACTGTTGATGATATGAAGTAATAATAATTCTTGAGACGTCTCCCATGCCTTACACACCTTCTCCAGGAACTCTGCTGTTGTTATCACAGTATAACCGGATACTAAACTTGTATATAATCGCCATTAGTTTCTTCGATTGTGATGTTTAGTGATATTCGGATAAACGAACACTGACAGATGGAGGCCGTTAAAACGCTGTTCCCCCTTCACGTTGAAACAACGAACTGTTCACTGTAGCGAGGAGGGAGGAGCGGGACCCTACCGGACGCCGGCACCTAATCCGATTACCGTCTGCTCTCTTATCCGGATTTTTTTTCTTTTTTTTTTCTTTATTTTTCTATAAAATATTTGTAGTTAGTATCGTTGTTTCCATATATCAAATTATCACCCAGATTTACAGACATTTAGAATTTTGCAAATAGAATACAGTGATCTTAACCGGATGTGAGTCACATTTTCACTGCAGCTGGGAATAAGCTACCCAATTTATACTGCGTTTCATGCTATTTCCTCACCGAGATTTTTTTATTGTATTATTTGGACTTTAATATACAATATATTAAATAATGTCATTATACATTTTAATTTATACATATTTTTTATTTTGAAAAAATTGTATATTTGTGAAAAAGAATCTTATAATGTGGGGAAATGTATTCTTGACATCAATTTCCTTTGGACATTAAGATCATTATCAATAAATTTGGTCAGAATTTGAATATATTAGTCAAAATATGGACTGATTTTTCAGTTAAATATTTTGCGGAGATACTGAGAAAATTTTATATTTGAGTCCATTGTTAAGTTTGGCAGTATCTGATTCACATACTTATCAAGTAACATAGCTTAAAATTATGTATTAAACGATTGAGAACAATTTTGAGTTTGTACACGAGAAAGCGAATACAGTACAATCAATATGGCGGCTTCAGGGTATGGTATCCAAAGTTTAGTGTACCAAGTAATATTCTCTCTCATATGAGCGTCAAAATACTACAATTTTAAGAGCTAACGCTTGATTGGTCACAGGAAGCAAGGGAAGCAGCGTGAGCGTTTCTATTGGCGAGCTGGCAGAGCCGGAGCCAATAGCAGCTTAGCTTTGACGCTGAGAATAATGATTCGTACTGTTACCTCAACCGCTATGGGCGCTCGCAACACCTAGAATTCCACCCCGTCCTCCCGACCATTTCGAAGAAGAAACTGCAGCGAATGTGGCGTATTTTAACAGAGTGAGTGCGAATTGGCACAAAATGCTACGGAATATTGTAGCAAGGACCATTCAAACCGCCCAGGTGGGGGCTAGAACTTTGACCCCGCTCAAAACTACGGTAGTTTGTAGTGGGCACGATATTGCGTCGAAATTGAAGAGTTCAAGATGTCTGGAGCAACTCCGGGGTGTCCACGTCGGCCTGGCCAACACCAAAGCAGAGGACCGTAAGGAAATGTTGGCCTCGATGCCCAAGATGGACGAGGGCACGGAAGGCGAAGTTTCTATTGACATAGACTCCAACATTCGAGGGTGAGTAAGACCGCTTGAAAACTCCCATTATTGTCATGTTCAGAGGGACTGGTTGGGGTGCGCCATTTTCTTGCCGGCTTTGTTAGGGTGTTGGTGTGTAGTAGAGGCCTATAGTAGTGGTGTGGCGGCGTGGGGGCTCGCCCACCACCTCTCACACTCTCAATTCATCACTGGCAATTTTTGTATGTAGGCCTAGACTCCTAATTAAGCCCTTTAGGCTGATTTGTAACTATTAGAGATTTGTAGTCTAGAGCAAAATTGTTGAACATAGCAGTGTTGATCTGTTTTGGTTAGTGAAAGAGTACTAGTAAAGGTGAGTGTTGTGCACTATATGGGTAGAGAGATGACTTGTTGTAAGGTGACTAGGGTAACATTGTTGTGTTAAGTGGTGGTGGTGGAGTGTTTGCTTGACGTAGACAAGACACAAGAGATGGTCTGTGTGACCACCTACAGTAGGTGATCACTAAGACACCCTTGGGTTTATAAATTGCTTGTATTTTGTATCTTTGGATCTCACAAGGTTTAGGCCTATGCAAGTTTTGTATGTAGTAAGGAATTTTCGTTGATTGCATTTATGTAGACATTGATAACGGTAAAAGTTTATGCAACAAGCTTGTCTTGCACGATTTTGACCCTTTGCATTGTGTTAGTCTCGATTAAAAAAAATGCTAGTTATAATGTGAAGAAAAAACCTTAGTAATCCTTGCCATAACCAAGTAGAAAAAAAAACTAACTCCCCATGAAAATGTTACACGGCACATGCATTTAGATTGTAAAATACTCTAAAATGTGACGTGACAAGTTCGACCACTTGGTGTGGTATTAAAGTTGGCGAAAGGTAAAATAACCAAAGTAGGTGCATTTTATACATGTAACTAATGCTTAATTTACTAGTTATCATTCTTGTCAAAGATACCAGCAGTAGACTTAAAGCCTGGATGCAACTATGCCTGCATGTCATTAAGGGTTTAGTTTTAACTTGCGTTATAGGCTAGCATAGTAATTTATCTAAAGCTTTCTAAATGGTGTCGTGTATAGGCAGATAATTTAACATACTTGAATGTTCCTTGAGCTAGGCAAGGATGTATTTATATTCTTTAAATAATTACTGTAATTTTTCAAATTAACTTGCCAACTAACCCCTAATATAACAAAGTATATGCAGGCTATTTTTTAACTTGCTAAACTTCCCCAAAAGTGGTGATTGTAGTTGGAAATTGGTGGAATTGCTCTAATACTATCACAGTATAATTGGTTTTGTTCCAGACTTGCAATTGTGGAATGCTCTGCTGTTTGTCTTAAGTACAAGTGGTTCAGTTCATTGTGTTAATAAGCTGGCACTACAAACGCTACATTAAATTAGGCATGACATTTGTTTATGGACTAATAATATTTAAGAGTGGGGTGCTTTAGTATTGGGCAGTACTGTTTTTGTTTAGGCATCTATATGAAGCTTTCAATCACATTTTTTCCAACTTTGATAAATAACAGGGCAGATCTTGTGCACCATTCATACAAATAGATTTTTATGCATTGTGAATTTATCAATGATAGTCTCTTCACTGGTAAAGTGAGTACACCACCTTTTCCAATTTACATGGGACAGCTCGTTTAGTGTATGTTGGAAAGTTATTCACCAGAAATTTAGCTCCTCCAAATCTCGATCACGTTGATCTGGCTTGCTGAAAATTTTTTAATTTGTTGGCTGTCGGCAAATTTTCCAGGTTTTTGTCATAAACAATGTATTTGTCTATTTAGTTAATATATAAATACAGTATTGTGCCTAATTATGCACAAAAAAAATAAGAAAATTGTTCATATTTTAATAGCACAGGATGATCTTGATAACATGCAGCAAATTTTAGTTAAACTACTTATCGTGCAGACTTAAAGCTACTTGTCACTGAACTGGACCTTGAAATCCTCAATTGCTAGACTAACGTAACCATTCGCCAACTGTTAACCAGTCAACCCCAGGCTGCAGTGCTATGTAAATAATTTGTTATAAGAATTTTCATAAGAAGGTTTGTGTCTGACATTTTTCCACCACTGCTCTCAATATGTTTAATAACCTATATGATGTGCTTTTTTGTTTTGTTTTACCTCAAACCACCTCACCACTACCAATATCATTCTCCTGCAAGCTGCAATACTGTAATTTTTTTTTACTTGGCATTATCCTTCATAAGGATGTTCCTCTTACCCCCTATCTGATGAACCAATATTATTGCTACACATCGATTTGCAGATGTTACGTCAGAGAAGGTGAAACTGCTAATAATGAAAGATCAGATCATTTGCACAAGTAAAATTGTTGGTATATATTCCCTTACAGTAGGTCTGGATGCCTCTAGAGGAAAATACTTTTAATAAATATATTATATATTATACTATAAATATATATTATACTATAACTTTAAAAGTTATAGTACAATAAAGCTTAGTAAGGCATTTATAAAATACAAATGCATTATCTTCAATAGTTATAAAATATCAAACCAAAATAAGAAACCAAAATTGAAGGTGAAATTGTGGGTGGATTTGTTTTATTTAGAGGGGTTCGTTATAGGGAAGTCTCGGTTTAGGCGAGTGTAAAGTTGCCAATTGTTTAATTAAATTAAATTTAATATTGCCATAAATGCCAATAAATATTGGCATTAATGTAAAATGATTATTAACGTTTGGGTTCGGAATACTGGGAGCTCTTAGTGAGTGGCCTTGGCTATTATGCAAGTGGTGTGGCCTTAGTACAGTACAATGTATAAATTTACCGAAAATACATTTGTGCAATACAGTAGTGTTTTTTCATTTAATAAAGTAAGCATTTTGATGCTAAAATTTTTTTAATATGCAATACATAAAATGGTGCACAGACATAAATTAAAATTGTTATATTCACCACCAGCTGCAATACTATGCAGTATAGGGGAGAAAGTTGAAGGCATTATGCATATATTTTTGTTAGTCATCAGATAAATTTAATTCTGTGTAGAAGTTGATACTTGACACCGTCTTGCATAATATTTAGCTTAGCCTTTGCCTTCAACTCTTTGTAGGTTTGGTGGCATGTTTCCGGATGAAAATACTCCAGACTTAATATTTGATGGGGTGCGCTTTGCTGATCTTCCTATATTACATGCGAAGTTTTCGAAAAATAACACACTTCTGATCCTTACTGATGCTAAAGGTAGGAAGTACAGTAATGGTATTTTAGAAAATTTGGGATTCAGTGGTAGAGTAAAAAAGATCTGGAAAGAAAACACTGAAAGAAACTACCACCTTGTGAATCTACTTAGACAATGTTAACATGAAAGTGGCTTTAAGAATTTTGTTTCTATCTTTGCAGGTGTGGTTAAACTGACTCGATCATGTGGCCTGGAAGGATTTAAGAATGCACGTAAAGGCACCAATATTGCAGCTCAGGCTACAGCAATCAGTATGGCTACGGTGAGTAGTTGGTTATTTGCTTCTGATAATTTTCTGGGCTGGTGAATATATACAACTAAATTGGTTTGATAATTGGGGGGGGGGGTAAAGGGGGTCTGACTGTACATTTAACATAAAAGTAGCTTATTTATTTTTTAGTTAAGATTTCTAGCCATGCTTTTAAGTTACCAGCTTTCTAATTGTCTGCAATAGTTGTATATGCTAATAATGTGGTGGCAAGGGCTTCAACTAGCAATAGAACCAAGCAGATAATTGTTTAGCTAGAGATTGTCAAAAACAAGATAATTGAAATGTGAAAGGTGGAAGTATCGTCAATTGACTTAAGATTAACACTATCGCGCGCGCCACGAGAGCGCCGCAGATTTTTACGTCATGGGGCTAATGGTGCGGGCGAGCGTGCGGCGACGCCTAAATGTGTACTCTCGTTTCAGTTTTCTCACCTTAATTCTCTTGCTACGTCGTTCGTTTTGGTATCATTGTGTTCACAATTAAATTCCCTGCAGATGTATATGCATATAATGTCCAAAAGCCTTGCGAGAATTCCCACAGCAAGCTTAAAATTATCCGTGAACGAGCACCAATTTGCACACCACAACCTAATGGGTATACTCGTTCAGTTTGATAACATCAATTTTCATGTTACATCGCTCGTTTTGGTATCAAATTGTTCACAGTATAAAGGCGCACATTTTAAAACTAGTCTCATAATAATAGAGCAATAAATAGAATTTTAACAAATATTTTAAAATTTAAAATTTGACCCAAAAACGTATTTACTGTATAATCTTTCACTGTGTTCTGACATCAAGTTTCGTGTTACATCTTTCATTTTGGTATCAAATTGTGCGCATTCTAAAGGCGCTTAATGTTATAAATGTTTTTAGTAAAAATGTAAAAGAATAGGCAGTGCTCTTCAGTGAATTACCAATAGTAATCTCATCCATGCACACAATGGTTTTTCCATAGCACATAAATATTAATACAGTACTCTGTCTTCTATAGTGTACAGTATGTAGAGTTCACAAGAATAGCCTATATTTTTTATCAGGGGAGTTCACTGCTTTTTTCAACCAGATTAATTTACACATTTTGATTACAATGCCCCTTTAATTTTTGACGTAACCATGAATTTTTTTTTCTCTTCAGAGGGCACTAGACAGAGGGATGAAGAATGTACGCGTTAAGGTGTATGGACTAGGAGCAGGTCGAATGGTGAGTGTTAAATTGTGGCATATAACTAGGATAAGATAAACCAAGAATTTAGTAAAATACAGCACAAAAATTCTACCATAACTACTAGAGAACCTGTTTCATTTTATACCGTAGAGACATTGTAACCCAACCTGTTATTTGATACAGTATCTCCAGAAGGGATGTCTTGGTTTTGTAATATTTTTTTCCTCTTCATTCTCTTGTATTCTCTCCTTTTGTGCCTCCCATTTTCCCCTAATTGGTTTCTAATACCTGGGATTTTTTTTTATTCAATAGTAAATTCCTCAATATTTACTTAAAATATTTAATAGCCAATCCAAATTTATAGTTATTGGGCATTGTAGCCCGGTAAGTTGTATTTGTTTATCTTTGTTAGTAATTCCCTCCCTTTCTAAATATTCTTAAGTTTTAATTGAAAGTTTGGCATTGTTAGCAGCTCCCTGTTCTTTGGCGTCGTATAGTCATCTGGGAGCATATTATAAAAATTGAGAGCAAAGTCAAAATAATTGTGTGTACATACTAACTACAAGGGGTATCCATTAACCAGGGAGTCTCTCTGGCCCCCCCCCCCTTCCTGTTCCACCACTCTTCTTTTCCCCTCTCCTCACGTTCCCCCCTTTTTTCTCTCCGCATTCCCCCCTTTTCCCCTCCTCTCCGTGCATTCCCCTTTTCTTTTCCCTCGCATTCCCCCTTCTTTGCCCCTCCTCACATTCCCCCACCCCCCTGCCTTTTACTTTCCCTCTTCCCACAAACCCCACCTTCTCCCAAACCCTCCCCCGTCTTCCCCTCCCCCCCTTCCCGCCTCTCCCTCCTATCTCTTCCCCCCCCCCCCTCTCTTGTTCCAGTCTCCCTCTCTTCTCTCTTCCCCTCCCCCCTTTCTCTTCCCCCCCCCCCCTTCTCTCTTTCCCAACCCCCCTTCTCTTTCCCTCCCCCCTTCTCTTTCCAACCCCCCTTCTCTTTCCCCAACCCCCCTTCTCTTTCCCCAACCCCCCCTTCTCTTTTCCCCAACCCCCCCTTCTCTTTTTCCCCAACCCCCCCTTCTCTCTTTTCCCCAACCCCCCTTCTCCCCAACCCCCCTCTTTTTTCCCCAACGCCCCTTCTCTCTTTTCCCCAACGCCCCCTTCTCTCTTTTCCCCAACGCCCCCTTCTCTCTTTTCCCCAACCCCCCTTCTCTCTTTTCCCCAACCCCCCCTTCTCTCTTTTCCCCAAACCCCCCTTCTCTTTTCCCCAACCCCCTCTTCTCTCTTCCCCAACCCCCTCTTCTCTCTCTTCCCCAACCCCCCCCCCCTCTCTCTTCCCCAACCCCTCCCCCTTCTCTCTTTCCCCCAACCCCTCCCCTTCTCTCTCTTCCCCAACCCCCCCCCTCTCTCTCTTCCCCAACCCCTCCCTTCTCTCTTTTCCCCAACCCCCCCCTTCTCTCTCTTCCCCAACCCCCCTTTTCTCTCTTTTCCCCAACCCCCCTTTTGCTCTTTTCCCCAACCCCCCTTTTCGCTCTTTTCCCCAACCCCCCTTTTGCTCTTTTCCCCAACCCCCCTTTCTCTCTTTTCCCCAACCCCCCCTTCTTTCTCTTCCTCAAAACCCCCCTTCTTTCTCTTCCTCAAAACCCCCTTTTTTCTCTTCCCAACCCCCCATTCTTTCTCTTCCCAACCCCCCTTTCTCTCTTCCCAATCCCCTTTCTCTCTTCCCAATCCCCTTTCTTCCCAATCCCCCTTTCTCCCTTTCTTTCCCAATCCCCTTTCTCTCTTCCCAATCCCCTTTCTCTCTTCCCAACCCCCTTTCTCTCTTCCCAACCCCTTTCTCTCCCCAACCCCCCTTCTCCCTTTTCCCAACCCCCCTTCTCCCTTTTCCCACCCCCCCTTTCTCCCACCCCCCCTTCTCCCTTTTCCCACCCCCCCTTCTCCCTTTTCCCCCCCCCCTTCTCCCTTTTCCCCCCCCCGTTTGTCCCCCCCCCCCCCTTCTCCCTTTTCCCACCCCCCTTCTCTCTTTTTCCCACCCCCCTTCTCCCAACCTCCCCTTCTCTTTTTCCCAACCCCCCCTTTTTTTTTGCAACCTCCCTCTTTTTCCATCCCCTTTTTTTTTCCCAACCTGCCCTCTTTTTCCCAACTCCCCTCTTTTTCTCACAACCCCCTCTTATCCTTCTGCCCACACACCCCCCCCCCCCTCTTCCCGGCTGCTCCAACCTCGAACATAGAAGTAAGGTCTTCTGACATGATTACTTCTTATCTTTTGCATTGCTTTCTTCATTCTAGTGCATTTTGAATGTGTTTTGTCTTTATATTACATTTTTTCCATAGCTGAGGAATTGAACCTTACCCTTTTAATAAAAATTTTCTGTGACCCACTGAAAGACCTGATTTACATTAGTGGATATTTGCAGTGTCATCTGTTGTCTTTTGTAAAAATCCTTATCTGCAAATGATGACAGAGTACTATAGTTTCTCTCTGATATGAGAGAAAAAGCTGGAGCAAGCATAGTACGCTGGGGAAAAGGAGCTTTTTACAGTGGCTAACCTGGATTTTACTTTGTTGATTTCACACTGGGCTCTTCCATCATATTTTTTCATTAATTTCCTTTGAGCACATTTTGTATGCAGTAACACTATGGTCATATTTGTTGAAAGCTTTTGCAAAAGTTGTTTATTATTACATCAGTGTTTTGCTCATCATCCGTGACAACTCTAGCAATTGAGAAGCAGGAATTTTCCGTTTTGAACCCATGTTGTCCAGAGGTATGTAACCTCTGTGATTCCATGTACTCGCCTAGTTGTGCTTGCAGAGGTTGAGCTTTGGCTCTTTGGTTCTGCCTCTCGACTGTCAGTTTACTGGTGTACAGATTCTCGAGTGTCTTGAGCTCTATTATATCTACATTTGTAACTGTAAGGGGTCTGCTCAGCCACATTTGAGTGCTCAGCTTCCACCTGTGTCCCCTTGTGCATGTACCACCTGTACATGCATCTGTGCTTTGATGTGTTTTGTCATCTTGGCACTCTTCAAAGGATTTTTGCGAGTACTGTCGGTCTAATTTTTTGCCCCTGCATTATTCTCTCCTTTATAATGGTACTATCTCTGTTTTAAGTTTGTCAGGGATGACACCAGTATTTAGGCTCAATCTCCAAAATTTTTTAGGGCATGCAATGGTGGTTTTTGTAATTCTTGATAAACACGGAATGTCAAGAATCAGGGCCTAGTGTATAATCCCTGGAACATTTGTATGTTAAAATGTGGCTTTGTAATGCAGAAGTATTTTTAATCTTCAAATTTCACTTTATTCAGGTTAAATTTGAAAGCCAATAGTTCTTTTGCCTAAAGGTAAATTTTACCACTTGTCTAATGAAGGAAACATGCTCATAATCCCCCCCTTCCCTCACAAACCCTTGACTCCTATCCTTTGGGCTTCCTTTAAAAGGCTTCTCATCATTTCTCGAGGCAGTATGCCAGTCCAGCATCCCTTGCACTGTATTCCTCTAATCACTTTATTAGATTAATTTTAACCTCCTTTGTCTTAAAAGGGACCATGTCTGTCTGTGTGTTTTCCCCTTCAAAAGGTCTTTAAAAGGCACTCTACCTATTCTTAACATTGACACCTACTATTTAATATATAAATATAGATGGCTATTAATCAATAAGAACATTTTAGGATCCTACCAGGATTCGAATCCCCCTCTGCCCGGGATCATCCCCTGGTGTACAGGGTATGTGGTTACGGTATACTGTGCACCGTGGGATGAACCTGGTACGGCTTCAAATTCTGGTCGGGCCAAGAGTTCTTAGTGATATAGATATATAATGTCGATATATATGTGGATGTGTAGATATGTAGATAAAGATATCTATATATGTAGTTTGTTTAAAACTGCTGTATATATAGTTATAAAGGGGGGGGTACCACCACTGGTGCAATTATAGGGACCCACAGCCTCAGAGAAGGGAACACAGAGCATTCAGGGAAAAACTTGCCATTTAACTCTGAATACGAAAGAGTGTTCAGTCCAGCATCACATGCTCTAGAAGTTATAAATATATATTCATAAGAAAATTAAAAAGTCACAATGCTATTTATGCTATGTGTATTAAAGAAAACCTGCTCCCAAAATACACATTATTTTATATATATATATATATATATATATATATATATATATATATATATATATATATATATAAAATAATATTGTGAAATTATTAAATGCTGCATTCAAACTACAGTTTGGAAGGAACTGAAAATACGCATTTATATTAAATGTCACATTATAGTGCGCTGAATGTGTTGTAGCATATATATATAAAAGTATTCCACATGCCTCAAACCATTTTTAAAGGCAACATTCTTATATTTGTATATCTGATAGGCATGGTTCTTTCCTCATAGAGTATCTTTACAGGCTATCCCACTACTTGATACAGGGCATTAGATTACCCAAAGCTTCCTTGTATTTTTTCCTGCTTACCCTTATCCCTATACTATGGGTATTTCATAATAGTATTTTTTCTGCCTCTACAATACAGGCACTGTTGTCCATTACACATGTGTACATGCACTTTATCTAATTGACCCAATTTAAAGGGAACCACAAGTTCCTTTATTCTTAATTTGCCATTGTGTTTAGTTCCTCTTCCACAAAGGCATACTACCTTGCCAGCACCCATGCATGTATTGAAGGGTAGGTGCCCATCAAGCATCCCTTTCTCTAGAAAGCACTGTACTAGTTCATCACGTGCTCGAAGGCACGGTGCCAGTCCAGCATCCCTTGCTCTAGAAGGCACGGTGCCAGTCCAGCATCCCTTGCTCTAGAAGGCACGGTACCAGTCCAGCATCTCTTGCTCTAGAAGGCACAGTACCAGTCAAGCATCCCTTGCTCTAGAAGGCACGGTGCCAGTCCAGCATCCCTAGCTCTACAAGGCACGGTACCAGTCCAGCATCAATGGCTCTAGTAGGCACGGTACCAGTCCAGCATCTCTTGCTCTAGAAGGCACGGTACCAGTCCAGCATCCCTTGCTCTAGAAGGCACTGTACCAGTCCAGCATCCCTTGCTCTAGAAGGCACTGTACCAGTCCAGCATCCCTTGCTCTAGAAGGCACTGTACCAGTCCAGCATCCCTTGCTCTAGAAGGCACGGTGCCAGTCCAGCATCACATGCTCTAGAAGGCACGGTGCCAGTCCAGCATCACATGCTCTAGAAGGCACAGTGCCAGTCTAGCATCACATGCTCTAGAAGGCACAGTGCCAGTCTAGCATCACATGCTCTAGAAGGCACAGTGCCTGTCCAGCATCACATGCTCTAGAAGGCACAGTGCCAGTCCAGCATCACATGCTCTAGAAGGCACAGTGCCAGTCCAGCATCACATGCTCTAGAAGGCACAGTGCCAGTCCAGCATCACATGCTCTAGAAGGCACAGTGCCAGTCCAGCATCACATGCTCTAGAAGGCATGGTGCCAGTTCAGCATCCCTTGCTCTAGAAGGCACAGTGCCAGTCCAGCATCCCTTGCTCTAGAAGGCATGGTGCCAGTTCAGCATCCCTTGCTCTAGAAGGCATGGTGCCAGTCCAGCATCACATACTCTAGAAGGCACAGTGCCAGTCCAGCATCACATGCTCTAGAAGGCACAATGCCAGTCCAGCATCACATACTCTAGAAGGCACAATGCCAGTCCAGCATCACATGCTCTAGAAGGCACAATGCCAGTCCAGCATCACATGCTCTAGAAGGCACGGTGCCGGTCCAGCATCACATGCTCTAGAAGGCACGGTGCCAGTCCAGCATCACATGCTCTATAAGGCACAGTGCCAGTTCAGCATCCCTTGCTCTAGAAGGCACAGTGCCTGTCCAGCATCACATGCTCTAGAAGGCACAGTGCCAGTCCAGCATCACTTGCTCTAGAAGGCACAGTGCCAGTCCAGCATCACATGCTCTAGAAGGCACGGTGCTGGTCCAGCATCACATGCTCTAGAAGGCACGGTGCCAGTCCAGCATCACTTGCTCTAGAAGGCACAGTGCCGGTCCAGCATCACTTGCTCTAGAAGGCACAGTGCCAGTCCAGCATCACATGCTCTAGAAGGCACGGTGACAGTCCAGCATCACATGCTTTGAAGGCATGGTGCCAGTTCAGCATCCATTGCTCTAGAAGGCACAGTGCCTGTCCAGCATCACATGCTCTAGAAGGCACGGTGCCAGTCCAGCATCACTTGCTCTAGAAGGCACGGTGCCAGTCCAGCATCACTTGCTCTAGAAGGCACAGTGCCAGTCCAGCATCACATGCTCTAGAAGGCACAGTGCCAGTCCAGCATCCCTTGCTCTAGAAGGCACAGTGCCGGTCCAGATCACATGCTCTAGAAGGCACAGTGCTGGTCCAGCATCACATGCTCTAGAAGGCATGGTGCCTGTCCAGCATCGCTCGCTCTAGAAGGCACGGTGCCTGTCCAGCATCGCTCGCTCTAGAAGTCACGGTGCCTGTCCAGCATCGCTCGCTCTAGAAGTCACGGTGCCTGTCCAGCATCGCTCGCTCTAGAAGTCACGGTGCCTGTCCAGCATCGCTCGCTCTAGAAGTCACGGTGCCTGTCCAGCATCGCTCGCTCTAGAAGTCACGGTGCCTGTCCAGCATCGCTCGCTCTAGAAGTCACGGTGCCTGTCCAGCATCGCTCGCTCTAGAAGTCACGGTGCCTGTCCAGCATCGCTCGCTCTAGAAGTCACGGTGCCTGTTCAGCATCGCTCGCTCTAGAAGTCACGGTGCCTGTCCAGCATCGCTCGCTCTAGAAGTCACGGTGCCTGTCCAGCATCGCTCGCTCTAGAAGTCACGGTGCCTGTCCAGCATCGCTCGCTCTAGAAGTCACGGTGCCTGTCCAGCATCGCTCGCTCTAGAAGTCACGGTGCCTGTCCAGCATCGCTCGCTCTAGAAGTCACGGTGCCTGTCCAGCATCGCTCGCTCTAGAAGTCACAGTGCTGTCCAGCATCGCTCGCTCTAGAAGTCACGGTGCCTGTCCAGCATCGCTCGCTCTAGAAGGCACGGTGCCTGTCCAGCATCGCTCGCTCTAGAAGGCACTGTGCCCATCCATCATCCCCCGCTCTCACTATAAGGCACGGTGCCCATCCATCATCCCCCGCTCTCACTATAAGGCACGGTGCCCATCCATCATCCCCCGCTCTCACTATAAGGCACGGTGCCCATCCATCATCCCCCGCTCGCTCTAGAAGGCACGGTGCCCATCCATCATCCCCCGCTCGCTCTAGAAGGCACGGTGCCCATCCATCATCCCCCGCTCGCTCTAGAAGGCACTGTGCCCGTCCAGCATCCCCCACTCGGTCTAGAAGGCACTGTGCCCGTCCAGCATCCCCCACTCGGTCTAGAAGGCACTGCCGGTCCGGCATCCCCTGCTCGCTATAGAAGGCACTGCCGGTCCGGCATCCCCTGATCGCTATAGAAGGCACTGTGCCTGTCCAGCATCCCTCGCTCACTCTAGAAGGCACTGCCCGTCCAGCATCCTCCGCTCTAGTAGGCATTGTGCCCGTCCAGCATACCCTGCTCGCTCTAGGAGGCATTGTGCCCGTCCAGCATCCCCCACTCGCACTAGAAGGCACTGTGCCCGTCCAGCATCCCCCGCTCTAGAAGGCATTGTGCCCGTCCAGCATACCCTGCTCGCTCTAGAAGGCATTGTGCCCGTCCAGCATCCCCTGCTCGCTCTAGAAGGCATTGTGCCCGTCCAGCATCCCCCGCTCGCTCTAGAAGGCACTGTGCCCGTCCAGCATCCCCCCACTCGCTCTAGAAGGTATGGTGCCCGTCTAGCATACCTCGCTCGCTCTAAAGGCATGGGACCCATCCAGCATCCCTTGCTCTAGAAGGCACAGTGCCAATCCAGCATCCCTCGCTCGATCTATAAGGCATGATGCCCGTCCAGCATCCCCCTCTAGAAGGCACAGTGCCCGTCCAGCATACCTCGCTCATTCTAGAAATCAGGGTACCCATCCAGCATCCCTTGCTCTCTAGAAGGCACAGTGCCCATCCAGCATCCCTTGCTCTCTAGAAGGCACAGTGCCCATCCAGCATTCCTCAAGAAGGCACAGTGCCTGTTCAGCATCCCCCTCTAGAAGACATGATGCCCGTCAGCACCCTTGCTCGCTCTAGAACGCAGTGTCCATCCAACATTTTTTTTTTTGCTCACTGGAATGCAGTGCTTCGCATACCTTTGTGGAAGGTGCAGTGTCTTACCCTCCCCGTTTCCTCATAAGCATAGTGCCTCCCCATCCTCTGGACAGGACTGTCTCCCCCTGCAAAAAGCGTTGTGCCTCCTGCATCTTCCTCTAGAAGGCAAGAGTTCCTTGGATCCCTCCCTTTTAAACAAGATGCCAAGGTGCCTTGCCTCCCTACCTTTTCATCATGAAGGCTTTGCATGCGAACAAGACTTGCGTGTTTCCTGATTAATTTTAAATGTTTTCCCAAGATATAATGAGACAATTTGTGTACTTATTTCCCCTCCACTCTTTATCCCATTTTTCCATAATTACCATTACCTCCCTAATGATGTATCTTGATCAATAATTTCACCATGGTTTAGTAAGGGCCGAAAATGTGTTAAATGTTTAGGTACATTTAATTCATAACTGATGTCATTTTTTAATTTTTTCATTTCAGTCTGCTATGAAGGGGTTGACGATGGGAGGCTTGAATGTTGTCTCCATCACAGACAGCACTCCAATAATGTTCACAGACTCTCCACGGCCTAGGAAGGCCAAGAAGCTCTAGTCACTTAACCCTCAATCGTAGCTGCTCAATTATGTCAGTTTAAACAAAATATTGTCTATGGAAAGTCGTATCTCAATTTGATTTTCCAGGTGTAAATAGTGTTTAGCCCATTTTCATCGATAATTATTGATTGTGTAAAACTTTCTAATGACTGATTATACATGTATTATAAATAAATAAGTTAATTATTTTCTCCCTTTTAATTATTCCTGTATTTTGTAAGGTTGTAATGTGTATGTATGTGTGTGTATATAGAGGTAAGGAGTAGGAGAGGTGGTGAGGCGGAGACTTGGTATAAGAGGTTTTGAACAGGGTTGTGTTGACGACGTCATCGCTCGGAGCATTGTGGGTAATAGTAGGAACATGGCTGGCAGACTTTGCTCTGGTCCACTCTGTCTCGTTCCACACAAATCTTCAAATTTCTAAGTCATCTGACAAGTGGCGGCGACCGTGGCTATACACAGCTCATCGTAAACGTGTCGTGACTATCAGTGTGTTAATGTAAGAAAATCTGGCGGGTTTAATAATGTGAAAATTGCGGATATCTGGAATTACGACTCCGCCGTCGAGACGAGCGGCCGTAAAATGGCCGACCGTCAGCCATCTTTGACCGCCACGTAACTCGGCGCTTGCTGACGCCCCGAGCCACAGTGCTGAGTGTTCTTGCTCGACTGAATTGAAACTAACTAATATTATTAAACATTAGAGCAATATTAGATAATAAGTGAGCGTTTATTATAATAATTTTAGGGATTAAGAGGATCGGACTCTGGTTCCGTGAGGTAGACGTCGCCGGCTCAAGATGAGGGAGGTGAGTGACGTTTGTTTACATCAGCTGATGCCGTGTTTACATTATTGTAGCCCATTTTAAGCAACTAGTGGCATTCCTTGCATTTCCTTTTAAATTACAGGAGCCATTTGACTTAGTCAATGCAACACTGATGTGCACTTGAGACATTTACTTTCATTTATTGTCATTTATTTTTATTTTGTTTATTGAACATTTTAATTAAGTGCTTATGTGAGTTATTGTTAATTAAGATGGAAACTCCAAATGTTGTGCTTGAGTGGTATTCATAAGTCAGCACTTGGAATAACTTAAGCAGTGTATAACATGCTTTAAGAATTCTGCCCCCCCCTCCCTTCTTCAAAGCAATTGTCTACAAATAAATCATTTTATTTATTTAAGTATGAAGTGTTGCAACTTCTGAAGTAGCTGATGTGATAGAAGGCACCATATGGACATCCTTGGGCTAGGTAATGGGTTGAATTGAATTGGACCCATTTTTGTAAATTTCATCCAAAGTTGAACATAGCAGTTGATGATATACTTGATAGTGGTAACCATTGTGTTCAGACTGGCAATAACCATCCAACACATTTAATACTATATGCACGGCTTGTCTTTGGTTTATAGGTTTGTCATTACAGTACTTTTATTTTTCTCATAATTTTTATGGCAATTTTAAATTTTTTAGAAAGCTAGGTATCGTGGAACAGGTGCTATAAACAGTGATATAAGGTCAGCTTTGTCAGAAAGCTTCATGGTATGAAAGGCTATGGTGGTATTCAGTAGTGAATGAAGTTGCAATAGTGGATTTGGTGCTTGAGTAATGGTCATATTACCCAGATTGGAAAATGTATTGAAGATGCATGTACTTTGAATCTGGAGAATAAATTTAAACGCAAAAGATTAATTTAAAAGGTTGAGAATTGCTAAAATAGAGGGTCAGTTTTTCCCTGCTCTACAAAAAAAAAAAAATGCATAGGCTAGCATAAGTACAAGAACACGCTAATGGTCCAAGACGAACTGAAACATCGTTTCGTCTGTTGGGTGGTTGGGTCATCACAAGTATAATAATTTTTAAAATGTGGCTGTTTATTAATCAGTTATGCTTGCTGCCAAATTTCATGTGGCCTATGCATTTATTGGCCAAGTTAATTTTCAGTAGCTTAACTGAACTCTGTGCCAAGCATTTCTTTGTAATATGTACTGTATTGTAACCTAGCTAGCATAATAAAACTTCAGAAACTTGACGCCTTTACTAATTGTAAAAGATTATACAGTAGTTAGTTCCTATGGGTTCTCCAATATATGTAAATAGTTTTAGTTTACTGTTTATATGTAGTTCTGCAGAATGGGCTACACACAATCTTGTAACATCATTTGAGTTGTTGGGGGCAGGGCAAACATGCATGAAGCATTATATATATACTGTATATATATATATATATATAATGCACACACCCATTACAGTATTTTATTTTATATATATATATATATATATATATATATATATATATATATATATATATATATATATATATATATATATATATATATATATATATATATATATATAATATATAAATAAAATAAAAAAAAAAAAATACTGTAATGGGTGTGTGTGTGCACGCAGGAAAATCACATGTGAAAACTAGAGAATGCTAAACATATTTTTGGCTCGATCCACCTTCATCAGAGCTTTTTAGAAGGCTCGTAACAGCGCCATATACAGCTGTGTATATGGCCATGCGCAACTCGCACACAATATATAACCTTGCATTGTCTTTGGACATATTGAGCCTTGCACTGCCTTGGGGCCTGATACCGAGCCTTGCTTTGCATTGGGGTCTGATACCGAGCCTTGCATTGCCTTGGGTCTGATACCGAGCCTTGCATTGCCTTGGGGTCTGATACCGAGCCTTGCATTGCCTTGGGGTTTGATACAGAGCCTTGCATTGCCTTGGGGTTTGATACCGAGCCTTGCATTGCCTTGGGGTCTGATACCGAGCCTTGCATTGCCTTGGGGTCTGATACCGAGCCTTGCATTGCCTTGGGGTCTGATACCGAGCCTTGCATTGCCTTGTGGTCTGATACCGAGCCTTTCATTGCCTTGTGGTCTGATACCATGTCTTGCATTGCTTTGGGGTCTAATACCGAGCCTTGCATTGCCTTGGGGTCTGATACCGAGCCTTGCATTGCCTTGGGGTCTGATACCGAGCCTTGCATTGCCTTGGGGTCTGATACCATGTCTTGCATTGCCTTGGGGTCTGATACCATGTCTTGCATTGCTTTGGGGTCTGATACCGAGCCTTGCATTGCCTTGGGGTCTGATACTGCATCTTGAATTCCATGAATAGGTTTCAGACTTTGCAACTCAAGATGCAGTATTGAACCCCATGAGCAATTAAAACTTGACAAGACTCCTACCTATGCTGGTTGCAAAAATCAATTTTTGTGGCCAAGCTGCCTGGTCAGTTAGATTGTTGCTGCTGTTTACAGTTTTGAGCTATAAACAGAATCAGATTGTTTCATAGGGCAGAATGTGAGCAACAGTGTCTTTAACAGCCTAAATAACCAAACCACAAATCAAGAGGCCTAGTCAAGAGAAATCTGTACAAAACCCATTTGCTGCCCAAGACCTGCACACCAATAACGGGAATAAGATAGCACACGCAATTAACTGGATCCCTGGCAGTTAAAGGCTCGTTAAAAACCTATTGGCTGACCAAGACCTACCAGCAACATGGGGACAACTTCCCGGGAACCCTGGGGATAAGGCCAGGCGGCGCCCCGGGAATCTCAAGCATCAAATTGGTTTCGAGAAGGCATTAAGTGGACACAGGACACCAGGTTGAGTTAAAAGCCCGACAAGTACACATTGTAGGGGTCTGTATTTGAACATTCCATTGTGTGTGTTGTACCATGCCTGGTCTGCTTTGGGCTGAAAACCTAAATGGTCAAACTGTGCCTTAAGATCTGATACCGATTAAGAATCGATTGGGGGGGGAGGGGTGCAAAAGTTCTGGTATGAATCAAAGAAGGAAACATTTTATAAAATGATACTGGAATGAATGCTGTACATTAAAACCCACCTGCTGTACAGAACAAATTGTAGGCATTTTAAAGTTTGTTTTCCAAGTACAGTACAGTACCTGGATAAGAGCACTGGCCTCAGAACAGAATTACTTTGTCCATTTCCCACATTGTTCCATCGGTATAAGCAAATGGAGGACAAATATATCCTATTACCCAATGAGTTACCCTTGTATGGGCCAATAGGCCTTCTGCAGTTACCTTCATTCTTATGTTCATTAGCTCACCCACTTCATTAGTCTAAATTAATTATCAAAGCTATAATTTTCACAAACTATCCCCAAAGTACATAATTGGGGATATAAAGTGGGTGGTTATAAATAGAAGCTGCCTCATATGGGCCAATAGGCGCTCTGCAGTTATGTTCATTAGCTCACCCACCTCATTAGTCCTAATTATCAAAGCTACATTTTTCTCAAACTATCCCCCAATACTCTGCAAGTTCAATTCCCACCTCATTACCTCAGTTATAGCATTTGTTTTAAATCTTAAAATTATTTGCATGACTGTTTTGTACCTTCTCCAAACTGTTTAGTCTCCCCTTACCAAACCAAGAAGTGATGGGTGCAACATGATCAATAAGAGCTCTTACAGTACAGTACAGTACTGGGAAGACGGGAGCGTAGCTCCCGTCTTGACTTCGAAGGAAATTGGAAGACCTCGAGCGTAGCTCACATTCTGTAATTGCAATTAGGTAATTACAGGTCTGTGCTCTCCATTGGTTTTAGGGATAGGGATGAGCATGCCTTTATTTCATTTACTGGGAATCCTGTCCTCTTTATAACAAATATTAAATAGTTTTAACAAGGGGTTTTACTTCATAATGGCTTTCTGCATCTTCCCAAGGGGAGGTCGATTTTCCAACATTAATTGCTGTGAATACTGTAGTACTTTATTCCAGGTAATGTCTGTGCAAGTGACATTCTCACTGATTTCTGCCTTAGGACTTAACAAGAATCTAATGACTTTAATTATGGCAGCTAATGAACTAAATTTTAGCAGCCCTTTTATCGACAAGGCCATTTGATATTCGTTGCCAGTCAGGATGCTCAACAAAATTGTTTTATATCTCCTTACTTTATTTGGATCTTGCAAGATTTCATTAATGTTTGTCATTCTTGATATCTGCAAACTCTTGCCAATACTTACTCTTAATTTATTTTGTCTTCTCCCCACAACCTAGCAACTGCCAACAAAGAATTCTTTGTAGTTAATTTCTACTTTGTCTTACCATTCCTACAACACTTCCTGTGAGCTCTCCTCATTGTTAATGTCCACCATTTAGAATCTTGTGTAAATTTTCTTTTTCTGTCATGATGTTTTCTTAAGAGCAAGAATCGAGGAAACTGGCAAAAGGTCTGTTGACCCATACATGGCAGCTCCTATTTATATCCACCCAAACTCGTTCATGTACTGTATTTGTCTAACTTACGCTTGAAACCTTCGAGGGATCCTATATCTGTTATGTTACCCAGTACAGTAATTGGTTCCACAAATTCTCAACCCTGTTACCAAATTGGTATTTACCTAGGACTTTATAAATCTGAATTCTAATTTGGGGGATTAATTTTGTCATCCTACGCTGGACATGTTATAGTGAATTTGTTCATTCTTATAGTATGGTGACCAAAACTGAACTGCATAATCTATATGTGGCTTAAAAATACCTGTACCAAGATAAAGCTGAAGAATAACATGCATTGATCCTTTTGTTTTAAATTCTTACTAATCATAACTCCCAGATCTCTTTCGCAATCCGACTTCGCAATTACAACACCATCTAGCTCGTATCTTGTAACTCTATCATCATTACCTAACCTCAGAACTTTACATTTATCAGCATTAAACTGCATCTGCCAATCCTTTGACCATTTCAAAACCCTATCTAGATCAACTTGAAGTGATAGTGAGTCCTCCTCCGAATTAATTTC